TGACTCAGAGCAGAGGAAAGCACACAGGTGACTCTTACTGTCCCTACATCACTAAAATTCTCTAAGCTGATGATAAGGCACTGGGAAAATAACCCTGGGCTCTTGCACTCTGGAGAGAAGCCAAAGGTTTCTGTTGTAAAGGGCCTGTCTGCTGCTAAAAACAACATTTGGAGGCTGCAGAAGCCCCATCTGAGCTTTCCCACATCAGCTGTCCCCTACCCTCCTCCCCTCGGTGCCCAACACAGCTCTCCTATTCTCTCTCTCCTATTGTCTTCCAAACATCCCTCCTTCATAAAAGCTGTCTGGCTGGGAGCTTAAAATATTGCTGGACAGTAAAACCTACCCATCAGGGCCAATCCAGTCATATCTGTTCAGTCGTGCAGCACAGTAGGGGCGGGGAGAGAAGTGGGAGGTGGGCTTTTAGGCACCAAAGGAAAGAAGCAGAAATTGCCATTTTGCTTCTGAGCACCAAGAGAGAAAAGACAGCACATATTTCTCCGGGGGACCTACTCCTATTGGCAAGTTTTCCCTGGGTGATACTACTTTTCAGCCTTCCCTCTGCCCCGACTTCTTTCCCAACTTAAGGGACATATCCAGGCTTCTCCAAAAGGAAAACAGTTGCCACTAAGGTTTGGTCTTGGGTTGGGATATGTGGACTCAAGAGAGTCGAATTCTGAAAACCCTGTTAGAATTGGCCTAAGAGTTGGCACAAGTCTGGATGGGAAAGGAATGTAGGAATAGGGGGCAGAGAGCGGAGGTGGAGATGTCTAAATTCTAACGACAACTTGACTTATTGAAGTCCTTTCATTTTTTCAGAATGAACTAATTAATGCCTACAGGAATCTGAAGGAACCTAAACCAAGTATTTGATGTTTATGAAAGATTTTTCACCTTTTCACTCAAACCCTGCAATAGGAGTAATAGTACTAAATATTAAGTGCTGTTGGTATAGGGGAGGCTTCATGCTCAGTATTTTTGATGTTGGAGCATTTAATGCAGCGCAAGAACAGGTCTGGCTAAGGACCATAAAACTCTTCCTGGGAGCAGGGTCTTTTGTCTATGAGAGCTGCTGGTTAAAGTAGCTGCTCTAGAAACACGAATGGTGACACATTTATACTCCTTTGCCAGCCAGAGTGGTAAGTGGTCATCTAATCCTTTGAAGAACTTGTTAACAAAGATGTACGTGTGTTCTTCCGCATCTTCAAAGCCAGGAAAATGTTGCTATGCTAGAAATCACCCTGGGCTTAAAGCCGAAAGCCCAGGGCTCACCCAGCTCTGCCCTCACTAGCTGGGCCCCCTTGGGAGACTTATTTAACCTCCCAGTCTTGGCTCCCTCTCTGGTAACAGGGGCTGATAATGCCTAGTTCACTGGTTCTCAAACAGCCATTTGTGGACCTATCAGTTCTGGTCCAAGATGAATTTTTTAGCAGCCTATGACAAAAATATGACAATGACGTAGTAAACAATGTAGTACATTTTTCACCAAGTGTTAGATTTAAAGGTCTTTTTTTCTTAAATTATGTCCTTTTTGGTTTCATGGTATTAAAATCCCCTTTTATGAAATGATGGTGAAAACAGATAATATTCATATTTCATGGTTTAACAAGTTTCTTATTCATATGTCCCTGCTTGGAAAAATGAGGGTTTGATAGCCCTATGTTGATCACCCGGTTTTGTTGTGCTTACTGTGAAATGAGAGCTGAAATAAAATATGTGAAAGTTTATCACTGATAAACAGATAAGGTGCTATTTTAATTATAACCTAAAACCATAATCCTCTGCTGGGATGTTCTGGTAGATGCCATAGGAGTGGAGGCTGGAACTCCCATCAGTTTATTTTCCATCTCTAATAGATCTTTTGCCTATTTGAAGGAGAGAAGATAAATATTCTTCTCTTGGTTTAGATTTCTCCCTGCTCCCAGTGGAACAGTTTACTCTAATATACTCCGATCCAACTTTCTTTAAATATAATTTTAGAAGTCAGAATCCCAAGGCACTTCCTCTTAGCACCTCTAGCTTCTCTTCCTAAGGACATAGTTGGCCTGTTTCAATAGCAAGGAATTGGAAATATTTTGTCCTAAGTTACAGTTTCTCTCCTTCCATTATTACAAGAAGCTTTGTAACTAGACATTTTTCACAAAACCACTCAATCCTAGCACTGTAGGGTAGGGTGTGGAAGCACACAGCTCTGTTGTGCTTTAGTTTGGAAATTATAAACGGGGTGGTCAGGAGGATCTTTTGTGTTTCGTGAACATGTGCCAGGACATTCATGAGTCAAGAATCATTGGCCTTACAGCTAATATCTTTGATCTTGTATAAAACAGTGCCTTAAAACAGCTAGTTTTGGATCAGTTTACTATCTGCTTTTGGTATTTTCCATTTCTTTCCAAAGAGCACAGGAGTTCCCTGGACTCTAAGTACTACTGGTATTACAAGCACTCAGGGACTGAGAATTTCAGATTGCATATGATTATTATTGGTCCCATCCACCAGTGTTGGTGCAGCTCACACTCTGTGAAGGTCTGTTTTATGTCATGATGGTTCACATAGGGTGAAAACCAAAAAGAACTCCAAAAGCTTTTGATTCTAAAAGGGAGAAATAAGACTGGTGGACATATAGTCCTGAGAGCTTGCTCACTGCACACACTCATGTGGGTACATGAGTGAAATACACACAACAACCCAAAAGGACTAACATGGTACAATACAAGTACGAGTGTCAAAACTGAGTTGACATATCACTGGGAGTAAGACATTAGCAAAATGAGCTTTAGAGAACACTAAAGCCAGACTTGATCTTATAGGAGTAAATTACATAAATTGTTTTAACATGAATGTTGGATTGAACAGTTTGATAAGAAACTTGGATTTTCCTGGCTCTGCCACCAATAGGATTTATGTCTGAGCTGTTTACCTGCTTGTGATGTTTCCCACCTTTTTCTAGAAGGCAATGGGAATGACTGCCTCTCTTCACAGGGCAAGCACTAGATTCAATTGTATTTTGAGAAGCATTAAAGGCAGAAGTATAACTAGACACATATGAATGGAATTCTCAATTGCTGGTTCTGAATAGAGGACTGCTCATATTCTCAATTCCTCATTCCTACAAAGGAACTCTTCCTAATGCCAGAATCATGACTGGGGATGCACAGCCTTCCCAGGAGGAAAGAAGCTGCTGTCAGATTCCCTATCTAACTGGGAGTTCCTAGAGCTCCAATAGGAGCAGTGCCCTCAACTCCCCAACAAGAAGCTGTTGTGCATAACCTGGGAGCACAAGTTGGTCAATGCTCATGCCTGCAATAAGTGTTTGCCACCAGCTACTATTGGCCAGGCTCCAAACTTCGGGTTGGAAGGAGACTTTAAGATGCCATTTTTGTTTATCCTCTCCAAGAGTTGAAAACCACACCTAATTTAAGATACCACTTTTCATCATTCATTCAGGTGTTTAACAAATATCCCTGTCATTACCACTTTTCATCATTCAGGTGTTTAACAAATATCCCTGTCATTAAAAGCAGTGAGCAAATTCATTTGGCCCCATGGGCTTCTGATCCTACAGGGTGGGGTCTGGCTGCAAGAAGCCAAGAGCAGCATCTCTAGCATGGGCTCTTGCCCTGATCTAAGGGCAGTGATATTAAACACCATAAATCTAGAGATGTTCAAGCTGGAGGGACATCTGCCATAGGCTGAGGTGGAAATTTTGATCATGGTCCTTTGTAGGTTACCAGCTTGCACCACAGATTTGCACTGGATGAATGTTCCAGTTTGCCTATATCATCTCTCAGTTCAACCCATGTCCATTGATTCACTGCTGTTGCTTAGGGGCATTATATTCTATTATGTTTAGTGGTATTTTCTTCTACAGACCAATTTTTGGCTCTACTAAAATAGCCACATGTTACACACCCTAAAACCTTTCCACTCTGTGAGACACTAACAGTGTCTTATTGGACCTTCCTCACTCTGTAGCATGATTCCTTCCTAAAGCACTCTCCCCATTCTTTGGGCTTAAAAGAGTAGTAATAATAAAAAGGAATACTGCTCTCAATTTGTAAAGCTATTAAGAATGGTTTCCAGATTTCTACCTAGAGAAAAGAAAACATAAATTAAGGGTACAAGCATCACGGAATTGTATAGCTCCAATTGCAGTCTGTATATCTCAGTGGTGTAGTGAAAAGAATGCAGCCTTTGGGATTAAGCAGCCAGAACTGCTGTTGTTTCACTGTCTGATCTCAGACCGTTTACTTAAACTCTATGAGCCTTGGTTTTCTCACGGATTGGAATCAAATTAGTTAAATATTTTTCAAGCTCTCAGTATGTGCTGGGCTCTGTGACAAGCATTGAATATAGCAATAAATAAAATAGGCGTGGTCCATATCCCCATGAAGATTACAGTCCAGCAGGATCAAATTAAATGAAATAATGTACTGTCAAAGGTCTGCCACAAAGTAGATATTCAAAAACTGTTAGTTTCCTTCCACTACCCTTCAAACACAAAATCATTATATATCCCAACACAGGCATAAGATAGCTACAATTTCATACATGTAAGAATTTTGTTGGGAGCCCAGGCACCCATAGTACAGAGCATTCTTTCAGCATTAGGCCTCTTGAGCCTTAGTTCAGCTTGTGTATTGATTTAAAACCACAGGTTTCTATTTATGGTCAACAATGAATCCTTATTTGGGGTGGAGTTCCAGGAATTATACACATATTGCCTCCTTATTCCTTCAGACTGCTTGTGGAGTGAATGAGAACAGGTATTACCACTAATACATTTTACAGAGGAGGAAGCTAATGGAGGCAGATTCTTTTTGTGTCTTTTGCCGTCTAGTCCTAGCCAGCACGGAGAAAGCACTCAGCAGATGCTCTTCACACGCTGACAGTTCCAGGAGCTCAGAAAGCAGAGGTACACAGGAGTTAGCAGAGAGACTGGCTCTCTTCGGGCCTGCCCCGTGGCCGCTGAGCTTTTGCCTTCTCCCTTCTCCAGGTGGTAAGAAATGGGCGACTGGAGTTTCCTGGGGAACATTTTGGAGGAGGTGAATGAGCACTCCACAGTCATTGGCAGAGTCTGGCTCACTGTGCTCTTCATCTTCCGGATCCTCATCCTTGGCACGGCCGCAGAGTTTGTGTGGGGGGACGAGCAGTCCGACTTCGTGTGCAACACCCAGCAGCCAGGCTGCGAGAACGTCTGCTACGATGAGGCCTTCCCCATCTCCCACATCCGCCTCTGGGTGCTGCAGATCATCTTCGTCTCCACACCGTCCCTGGTGTACGTGGGACACGCGGTGCACCACGTCCGCATGGAGGAGAAGCGCAAGGAGCGCGAGGCAGAGGAGCTGTGCCAGCAGGCGGCGGGCAACGGCGGCGAGAGGGCACCCGTGGCCACAGACCAGGGCAGCATCAAGAGGAGCAGCAACAGCGGCAAAGGCGCCAGGAAGTTCCGGCTGGAGGGCACCCTGCTGAGGACCTACATCTGCCACATCATCTTCAAGACCCTCTTCGAGGTAGGCTTCATAGTGGGCCACTACTTCCTGTACGGTTTCCGGATCCTGCCCCTCTATCGCTGCAGCCGGTGGCCCTGCCCCAACGTGGTGGACTGTTTCGTGTCTCGGCCCACTGAGAAAACCATCTTCATCCTGTTCATGTTGTCTGTGGCCTCTGTGTCCCTCTTCCTCAATATTCTGGAGATGAGTCACCTGGGCCTGAAGAGAATCCGGTCTGCCTTCAAGAGGCCCTTAGAGCAGTCACTGGGAGAGATCCCTGAGAAGTCCCTCCATTCCATTGCCGTCTCCTCCATCCAGAAAGCCAAGGGCTACCAGCTCCTCGAAGAAGAGAAAATCGTGTCCCACTATTTCCCTTTGACTGAGGTCGGGATGGTGGAGACCAGCCCCCTTTCTGCCAAGCCTTTCAGTCAGTTTGAGGAGAAGATAGGCACAGGGCCCCTAGGGGACTTGTCTCGGGCTTACCAAGAAACACTGCCCTCCTATGCTCAGGTGGGAATGCCGGAGGGGGAGGGGGAGGAGCAGCGGGGGGAGGAGGGTGCCGAATCGGAGGCGGGAGAGAAGAGACAGGACGCAGAGAGAGTGAGCACAGAAGGGCAGGAGACCCTGGCAGTGCTGGAGGGGGAGAAAGTGGAGACCTCAGAAGTGGGGAAAGAGGGCGAGAAAGAGCTGCAGGCTGAGAAGGTGTCAAAGCAAGAGCTGTCGGCTGAGAAGGCGCCTTCACTGTGCCCAGAGCTGACCAGGGATGACAACAGACCGCTGAGCAGGCTGAGCAAAGCCAGCAGCCGGGCCAGGTCAGATGATCTAACCGTATGAAGTGACGCCAAAGAAAAGAAGAAGAGAAAGCACCCAAGCTAACGCAGGGCAAGATGAAATGTGAAGATGCCAACATGATCTGAGTCTTCTGTTCCTCCTCTCACACCCACCCCTTGCTGGACAGGCACTGCAGTGAACAGCACACGCTGTACAACTCGGAAATTGCCTTGCCTGTATGTAAGGGCTGCCAAGACAAACCCCTTGTCCCATTGAAGATCCCAGTCCCATTTGGCTGCCCTGTCCCTCTACCCCAATGGCTGTGGGGAACTCTGTTTTTATCCTCACTTCTCTGTAGAAATCCTCCTAATCAGAACTGTGGTTGCCCCATAGCTTTTTACAAGTATTATCTCAAGCTCACTAATTCAGCAGGACTTTATCACCCCAGCCCTTTCCAAGCAGGTGCCATGTGGTCATACAGCAAGAGTCCTAAATTTAGATACTCCAGGATTCAGGTAGATGGTTTAAATAGGTGAAGAGGGCCTGTTCTGATGCTGTAGGAGCTCCAGGGCTGTGAAGATTGGAGAGCAGGGGACAGTTGCTGCTTAATCCCAGGCAATGATTGCCAGGCAGTGTTACCTGGCCATCTGATTTTTTAAAAGAAGCCAAAAATCCAAACTTTTAAGTGAAATTCCCAACATTTTTAATGTTCCCAGATGAATTTTAAATATGCCATATAGGCTACAAAAAATGTGTGCAAGCCAAGTTTAACCTGTTGGGCACCAATTTACAAGGTTAGCTTATACTAGAGAACCCAATTTCTTACGGAATTAGCCATATTATTTATCATCTCAACCATTATTGTGGTCTCAGCTTCCAAATATCATTTTACCATTCTGGAGTGCTGGGTTTAAATCACCAGTACAGGTGATACCCAGAATTCTCACTGCCCTTTCTCTTGGGTCACTGCAGCACCTGGGTTCTGATGCAATTACATTCATTGGGTTGGTGGGACTTCTGCCTTGGGAACCATCAGAGAAAGAGAGCAAGGCCTCAAAGCCCTCTCCCTGAACTGAAAAGGCCTTGAGGCCTGGTTTCAGTTTTCTTCCCTGAAAGAAGGTCCCCTTCTTTCCTCTCCTCTCCCAACTTCAGTGCCCAGCCTGAAATCTACATTTCCTTTCACTGAGAGCTGGGAGCATACCCAGCTCTGAGCCAGAGGATAACTGCCCACTGGCCTGACCTGAGAGTCAGCTCTCAGGCCTTGCTCAGGCACAAGACATGTACAAAGAGTGACACGAGGGAGAGCCTCTTACAAAGTGGGAGCTCAAACAGCCAGGGTTCCAATGTCTAGTCCCAGGCCAGGCTTCATCCTGGGAAGGGATGTAGAGGGTGAAGGGAACAAGAGGGATTTCATAGGTCTCCTACCATTTATCCCCACAACAAACATTCCTTAAACATAGGGTATAGGAAAGGAAAATCCTCAGGTATAAGTATATACCTCACACAGCGAGCAGTTTTGCCTAGAGCGGAAGAACAGAGGGAGAAAGCAATAACCAAACTGTTCGTTTAAACCAGAGCTATGCTTCATGATGGGCTGCAGTGCCAAAACTTAGGTAGGAGGATAGACACCAAGTTGACATGGCAGGGATCTGGACAGGAAACCACCAGGGACCCAAAAGGTGTACTCAGAAAAACTGCCTCTTTCTGCCCAACTAGCACCATCCCAAAGTATGCAAATCCTTTGTGCTGCCCTCTGGTTACCACCTTCCTTTTAAGATATTCATTCTAGATATGCTTTTCCAGAGCAAAGCCTCCTCCAAAACTAATCGCCCCCCAACCCCTCGGTGAAAGTATGCCCATTCCTTGGAGCCCCTTACTAAAGTAAAGTAGTCTAAAAATTAAATCCATTCTAAAGTATGATTGTTTAACAAATTCTCAATTAATGTGTCAGATAATGGACAGCTGAATAGAAGAGGTATATTTATCTTGTAGACATGTAACTTTCTGGCTACTACTAAGATTGAATCTGCCCCCTTGCGCTCAATACTATTCCACACAGACCTTCAATGTGATGAGAGAAGTAACAAAATTCCAGGCTTGAGAAAGAGACAGCATCATTGCACTTACCTTGTGGCTATACTGTTGCTCCTACAGTTTTGCTCCTGAAGATCCATTTTAAGAAGACATAAACTCAGAGCCTGAGAATAGCTTGGTTGTTAGAATAAAGAGTCTGACTCAACTAGGACCTACTCCAAAATAGAAAAGGAGAAAACTACAGTGTGTTCAAAGTGAGAACTGCTGGTGTGGTTTACCAGCTGTAGAGGTGTAGGTGAAGGCTGCTGGCCTCCTTGTCTCCACTGGGCATAGCTGTGTGAAGGAGTGGATTTCCTTGGATGAAGCAGCATTCTGCTATTGAAACAGGACGTACCTGCCCCGCCCCCATCCCCACCCCATGAGGGAAGCTGCCATTTTTTTCCCTGTAGTGTTCTTGACAATAGAAGTCTGTTTTGGAAGAAACCACACAGATGTCAAGAAACCAGGATTTTTTTTTTCTATTCCTGCCATTTAGTAGCTGTGTCATTATCATCCTTTAACTTTTCTGCACTTCAGTATTCTCTCTGCAGACTAGAGATGGCATTTGCCACCAACCTACCTCCAGGGGTATTATAAGGATTAATGAGTTGGCCACTTAGCCTAGAGCCTGATGAGTGGTGCCACTCCCTGAAAGAGTCCTCTGATAGCAGGGAGACTGGGAAGAAGGTGGGTGGTTTCCATCTGACCCTCCCAGCCTGCCCTGAAGTTGCCTAGGAAGAGGGTTTTTTTTTTTTTTAATTTTTTATCTTTTATTTGAAGTAACAGTGTAACAGGTTGATAGTATTCAGCCATTCACTGGGCACTAACAACTTCTTCCCAAAGAGCAATGGGGGATTCCACCCAAGACATCTGTCTGTGTCCTCCCTGCCATGTTTACCCCAACCATCTGCGGCTTCTTTTGATTTGCTGCCTAGGAAGAGTTTTTCAGAGTGGAATAAATAGTCTGGAGATGAGTTTTTCAGAGAAGACAAAACGGAATCTTGACCCCTTAGTAGGAACCTGAGGCTCTCTGACCATGAGAAATGACAAAAGGACAGATTGGCAATTACTTTAACCCTCTGGAAAATGTCCCTTCATGCCCCCTCTTAGGCTGCCTTACAGGTGCTGCCCGGTGCCTTTCACAGGCAGCTGTGGGTCCATGGAAGCCTTTGCTCAGTGCAGCTGGATCCCCCCTCTGGGCTCCATTAGGTCCATCTTTAGTCCTATTCCTGGTCCTTCCCTTGTCAGACTAAACCTTTAGGGCATGTAGATCTATCCAGAAGAAGCATTAGCCAGCCGAATATCAAAAGGGCAGCTCCCTCCAGAGGAAAAGACCAGTTGCTTAAAAGCAGTTGTAACACCTCCCTCAGGGGAGATCTGTGACCGGGAGGAAGAGGGATACTCAAAGTTCAGTTTGTTTCAGGCCTGGCTCTGTAATCCCTAGGCCTAGCTTTTGGGGCATCATAAAAAGGCCCACCTGTTTTTCACCATGGCTTTGTCACTTGCCACACAGGTGAAGCATCCAGCACAGAATTGGACAGATATTCCTGAAGGTCAGTGTGACCTGGGGATCACAAGTGCTGACTCTGAGGACCCCAAGAGACCATTTTGCCTGCTCCATGTAACACTTTTCTCTAGGTTAATTGGGGCAGCAAGTTCTGCCTCTCCTTTGCAAGTGAATTGGTGCTCAGCAAACACTAAGAGCATACTGGAAGTAAGTGGGGTTTTTTTTAACTAATTTGGAAGTAAAAGGAAAGGGAAGAAGGCATTATTCAAATTTGTCAGAAGTCCTTATTGTAAAACATATACTGAAGCAATGAGTCACCACTTCGAATGCTGTACAGATTTGTTAACTAAGGTACTGATTAAAAGTGACTAAATAAGTAAAATGAAGGAAGCAAATAATGGAAGAAAAAGGTCAACGTTTCTGTAGTTCTGAATTCCTAAGAATTATATTATAAATAAGGGACATCTTTAATGATGCAAGAATTCGTTGCTCAAAGTGATGCAGGTACTCAGCTCACTAGGGCTCATGTGGAGATCACACCCACCCCAGAGGCGGTCTCTGACTCGTGGCAGGAGGGAGTCCACAGATACTGAAAGAGCTACATGCAGGAACTCTCCAACCCAAGCTGTGTGGAAGGCCTGGGGCAAACCTAGTGCAGACAGCTGCTCTTCATGGATTCCTGAGGAGGGTTATTAGGGCACCCTTGGGGGGGAAAATGAGTATACCTCCCCCACAGTACCTCCCACCCCACTCCCCATGCCTCCTCCTCCTCTCTCCTTCCCCTAACCCTGAATTATCACTCTGTGCACATTGCCTGCAAATAAGCACACAACCCAAGTTAGCAAGGTTTAGATGAAAAAGGTTTGCCTGTTTGGATGGAAAACTCCTCTGAGCAGAGATCCAATCTGTGAAATGAAGAAAGTGTGTGCCTAGAAGTGGAAATGAAATAGTTGGAGAGACTTCCCCTTCTCATTATTATTATATTATAACTAAATATGTAATTGGGAAGGAAGGAGAAAAAGGAAACAAAATTCTAAGCTTAGCAGTTAGATAAGACAAAAGACAAGTCACTCTTCACTGCCCGAAACATTGCAGCTCCCAAAGTCAGGGGAGCATGGGATTCAGCTGTGCTAGTGGCCACCAAGGTAGCAATGGGATTACCCCATTGCCTTCGGGAAGTACTCCAGGACAGACAGAGTTTTGGAAGAATTCACAGTCTGCTGGAGGCGAAAGTAGATGGCTTCACTGCTTTTTTCTGCAGATGTTCCCACCTATGAAACATAATTAGTAAAAATTTAGCTAAGAAGCACTTTTATAACACCCTTCCTGGAGAAATTTCTGGCAAAGGAGAGAGGCATTATTAGGATTGTGTCCTGAATTCTCCAATCCTTCACATACTTATGTTAGAGCTAATAGTCACATGTTAGACTGTTTCAAAACAAATAAAACTAACTTGACTTTTTGCCATCTTTTTTTTTCTTCTGACCTATCAGCCACCTAGACTGTGAAGTGACTGCCCAGTTTTTGGTTATTCTCCCTTTGGAATTATGGGATTGAACAACAAGAGGACTGGAGTATGAGGAGGGGGGCAGGGTTTTGCTGGTATGTGTTTAACAACCAGCTCTCTCCAGAATAAAGAGGCCCTGTTTTGTAGGGTTTGACAACTGCCTTGGGGTAAATTAGCTAATTCAAAACTTCCAACATGTCACTGAACACACAGACGGGAAGAGATGTAGAGTAGCACAATATTACAAAACATTTCCACCACATAGCAGATATAAATTACCTCAAGGACATAGATAATAGTAAAATAATTAAGAATATATGAGTACCTATTTGTGTTTCATGCCTTTTTTTAAATTTTATGTTATCTATTTGTTAATAATGATTATGCTACCTGGCTCACAAAATTTCAGGAAATTTTGCAAATGACTCTTATAAGCCAGTACAAATCAGCTCCAGCATACCAGTGGTGGTAGAGAGGAGAACCCGATTCAGGAAGAACATGAAAATTCTCATCATCTGAGACCTGGTCAGCTTGTTCCCTCCCTTTGTCTACACAAACCTCAGGAAAACCAAAAAGTATACTTCTTTGACCTTATGGGAAAAGGCAAAAGAATAGGAGTCTTTCTCTTCCATGTCACTGAGAAATGCAGATAGAGTTAAAGTTATTCATTAATGGTAAAAATAGATAAAGAAAATTAACCATAAGATTCTGCCTGGGGTTTATCATGTCACTTCTCTGCTTAAAAATCCAGTGAATCCTCATTGCTTACCCAGTAAATCCTAAATTCTTACATGGTTTCAAAGCCTTTATAGCTTTCTTCAGCCCACCTGGACAGGACATCTGTTTTTACTTGCTCAGAATCTATCCATCCTTCTTCTACAATGCCATCTCAACTTTGTGTAGGTGAATTACCCTTCCTAGATTGGACATAGTCTCGGTAGGACTCAGTAATGTTTATCCAGCTGCCCCTGGTTGAGAATCAGGTTGGGGTTTTTTTTTTATTCAAATAGGCCAACCATACATTCACTTCTTTGAATGCAGATCTTGAGTGAAGTAACAGACTGAAATTTGGTTGGACTTGACAGAAGCCTCTGAAAAGACTCACAGTTGGTCCTGCTTGCCAGATTTCTGGGTTATGTTTAGTTCTTCTTTTCTCTGATCCTGGTTCATCATCCTTCCTTCAATTTGCTAAGCTACCCCAGAGTTCCTTTTTTCAAAAAGTTTAATATACCCAAAATTATCTCTATTGCTTGCAAGCCCCTGACTGATATACCACCTTTGTAGCCTTCTCTCCCACATCCATCCACATGTGCATGTGTCCCAGGCTTTACAAAACCATGGGTGGTCCCCTGGCACATAGTGAGAATGAACTGCCTGTTGTCTCAAGACTCTTCCCTGTCCTGCCTTTTTTTTCTATGATTAGCTTCTTCACATCCTTCAAGATTCAGCTCAGTTGTCTCCTTTATGAAAACTTCCTGAGAATAGTTGCTCCTTCCTTTGAGATCCCTCAGTACTTACATGCACTTCTATCATAGTACTTACCAAATTGTCTTATCTTATTTTTCTCCCATCTGGCTGCAAGCAACTTGAGAATAGAGATTTCATCCTATACATCTCTGAATAGTCAGTACTTAGCACAGTGCCTAGAATATAGTAATGTTTAGTGAATGAATGAGTGAGAACTGAGACATCTCACAAGTAAGATGGAAAAAATGACCCAAGCACTCCCCAGCACCAGAGCAGGCTGACACCACATAGAAACGTATCTGAGTAAGTGGTCCCCTCAAGGTTCGGAGTGTTTCAAGCTTCCAGGTAAGCAGGTCTATATAAGGGAAGGAAATAAATTTGTCATAAATAAAGGAAGGAAAGAGATTTTCATATTAATTGCTGGATGTCGTTACCCAGGGCAACCTTGGAAACCATATGTTGAAGATGGCAGTCAGAGTCTTTGGCTAGAGATCAGAGGTCTCCCCATCCCTACCAATTCCCACCAATTGGACTTTTGAACTTTACATGAAATAAAAAATAAATTTTTATTATATTAATCCTCTGAGATCTCAAGATTTATGTTATAGGACCTAGCATCACTTTATCTATGTATAGAAATAGAGTTTAGATGCAGTTAAAAAAAAAACCCTAAAATCTGTGGCTTTGGCTTAACAGTTGAACAGTGACCATTGAAGAAATGAAAAGCAAAGGCTATAATGACAGAGCCCTAAGCTATGCCATGCAACTATTTAGTAAAAATGTTACCTGTGATGATTTGTATATTAGTTATCTATTGCTGTGTAACACATCACCCCAAAGGTTAATGACTTTAAACAAGAATATCATTCATGGTTTCTGTGGGTCAGAAATTCTGGAGTAACTTGGGTTCTGTATTGAGGTTGCAGTCAGATATTGACAGGGCCTGCAGTTGGGATGGTAGGATCCATTCATGCACATGACCACATGACTAGCAAGCTGGGGCTGGAAAGTAGGTTTCTCTCCATTGGACCTCTCCATGGGTCCACTTGAGGGTCCTCATGCATGCAGATCGACTGGTTTCCCCCAGAGCAAATGATCCAAGAGATCAAGGAAGAAGTTTCAGTGTCTTATGACTTAACCTTAGAGATCACATACCATTACTTCCATCTCATTTTATTGGTCACTGTTGCTGAACTGCTCCAGCTCCATGAAGAGAATAAAACTAGCAACAAGCATATTTGAGACAAAGACATCAATTTTGGTTCCTTTTTCTTTGTTTTAATGATTTCATTGTACATATAATATGTATTATAATCTGTTCCAAATGCTTCTTGGAAGTAGGCAGGATTCAAACAAAATGATAGCATTTTTGGTAACAAAATTGATACAGAAATGATACCAAAACTCCAGATCGCTGTACAATTGCCACTGTGAGGAAGCCCTCAGCCAAGGATAATGTCTAGCCATGATTCCTTTGTCAGGGACAGAATTTTGAGTTCTTTTGTTTTTTTTCCTCTAGCTTCTGTTTTTCTATAACACACAACTTTCCTGAAAACTGTTCAATTTTTCTAGTTCAGCCAACTTTTCCAGTTGCATTTTTCTATCTTTCTCATTTGCTATAGTTATAATCTCTACACTGGCTACATCTGTAGATGGAACAAACAAGGCACCTCCAGAAATGAGTTAAGTTTATAAAACCAACAGAAAATTGATGAGATCAAATAAATGTGAGATGAACTAACAGAATACAATGTAACAAAAAATTCTCAACACATCTTTAAGGCACACACAATGACAAGGAGTGCTCTTATGGCATTGCTACAAATATGGACATCTTTAATGTCTCTCAGATCAAAACTTTAATTTTCTCCAGTTTCTCTTTTCATGATTGGCTAAGTGAAGCAATAATTTCTACACAACTCCATATCTTTCTTGGATTACAGACTAGTTGTCTTCCCTTTAAATATTTTTTAGATACTTTCTTACCCAGTACTCAAAGACCCTTTTTCTTGACTTTTTAAACATCCTGTTGACCTTATTATCGTGTCTTGTTAGGCCCTATTCATATACTGGGACATCATCTTTGTAGGTGAGTTACAGACAAGGAAAATAATAAAGAGATAGCTAACAACCTGGAGTCAATGAAATGTTTCAGAGAAATGAGGTGAAAACAAACAATGGATACCAAACAGTAAAAGAATAGTGTAATTTCAAAAGATATTTACTGAAGTAAATAAAAGTAAGCTTAAAGTCTGTTTGGTGCTTTCAAAAAAATGTTAAGAAAACATGAACTCTATAAAACAAGATATGAGACACAAGATACTAGGACAACAGACCAGTTGGAAAAGAAGCTAGCAGAGTTAGCAAACAATGCCATAGCAGCATTTAAGAAGAATAAAGGGTAGAATTAGCAACACATTAAGCCAAATTAGTTTTGTAAAGAATCAATATCAGTCTTCCCAGGATGCCAAGAGGACAAACTAAACAATGAAAACTATCATAGAGTAAATAATAGATATGGGGAGGATGCAATAGAAATCCAAACATAGACATGGGTACAGTTAAAGAAGAGTCAGGACAAGTGAACCAGGAACATCAAAGATATAATGGGAGGAAACTTCCTTGAGATGATAAAAGAACTGAAATTGCATATTGGAAGGAATTCACCATTTACCAGGAAAAAAATCTAGACAAACTTTGATTTACAAGTACAAAGACATAATTCTATAGATTTGGAAAGATAAGAAAATAACTCCTGCTATTATTTGTGTATTGCCAATGAACAGTTGTTTTTACATTCTCATCCAGTTAGGAACACAGGGTAGGATCACAGTGTACAAAGAGGTGAGGCTTCCTATGAAGAGAATGGATGTTTCAATGTCAAATCCTGAAAAGAGAAAGATTCTAGGATAAGAAAAGAGGACTTGGAAGCTGAGCCTTAAATAAGAAGGAATTCCTTTCCCTGCCTGAGCCTCATTCTCTTGAGCCTGGAATCCAATGAGTCCCACTGTGCCCAAAATGCTTCCAAAAGAAAGGGAACATCAGCACCTGCCATATGGAGGCAAGTCAGGAACTAAGGGAATTAATGAATCAGTACATGTCAAGATTTTAGAACAGTATCTGGCACATAGTAAGCACTTGGTAAATATTAGTTACCATCACCATCATATACATTATTCTATGTGATAATTACTGTCACAGTCTTATTATTAAATGTTACACTCAGCTGAGATAGAGATTAAAGGGAAGGGTTTGTGCACTTGATCTGGAGGGGCAGAAAGGAGAAATTCCCCCTCCCTCTCAGAGTCCACTGTTGGTCATGGGGATTAGTAACAGCTCTAAAGGAAAAGGGAAGCTAAGGTGAGGATGAGAACCAAAGCTGCAGACTCTCAGTTTCAGCCATCCCTTCCAACATGGAGTGTGAACCTCTGGTGCCAACGTTGATGAACAAGATGTTTAT